GGATCTCTTTGAAATCGAAACCAATCTCATCTATAAGAGCTAGTTCCAGGAACAGGCTGCAAAGCTACACAGAGAAACCCTGATTCAGAATAAATAAAAAATAAATGAAATAAAACGGGAGGGATGCAACTAAATAGTATTCTGAGCAAAATGGGTAGCTTTAAATATGAAATTAGGAAAGAGCCTTTAATACAAAATTAGTGAGGTGGACATTCTGCTCAGGAACTTACAGGATGGACCAGAAGTCAAAGGCACAGATTCAATCCTCAGGTCCAGGAGGGGGAAAAAGTTACAAGAAAAGCTACAAAGCCAGCAGGATGGTCACTGACACACAAGTAGACAAGTCACTAGGAAAACGGGCAAAGACAATGATAGTTAAAGAAAAGTGTAAAGGGCCTGGAGAGATGGCTCAGAGGTTAAGAGCACTGACTGCTCTTCCAGAGGTCCTGAGTTCAATTCCCAGCAACCACATGGTGGCTCACAACCATCTGTTATGAGACCTGGTGCCCTGGTGCCCTCTTCTGGTGTGTAGATATACATGGAAACAGAATGTTGTACACATAGTAAATAAAATCTTTAAAAAAACTATTAAAAAAAAGAAAAGTGTAAAGGAATTGGGCAGTGGTAGCGTCTTTAACCCCAGCACTCAGGAGGCAGAGGCAGAGGCAGACTACAGATCTCTGTGAGTTGGAGGCCAGTCTGGTCTACAGAGTGAATTACAGAACAGCCAGGACTTACACAGAGAAACCCTATCTGAAAAAACAAAAACAAAAACAAAATAACAAAGTGTTAAAGGGGATAAGAGAGTATTGTTTGTTTGTTCTGAGACAGTGTCTCACAATGTAGCCCTGGCTGTCTTGGAACTCCTTATTTAAACCAGTGATCCTCCTGCTTCTGCTGTGTTGTGATGACAAGAGACTCTTAAAGACCAGGAAGTGTAAGGAGAAATGTAAAACAAAACCATTCTGAAAAAGAATTCTTTATCTGATGCATAGCCAATGATTAGCCAAATTCCAAAAGTTTAAAAATATAGCAGGCTGGCGTTCTTACACACTGAGGAGAGCAGTGTTCCTAAGTAGGGTAATTTGGCAGCACATATCCAAATTACACAAGTCTACTTCCAGGAATATAATCTGCATATACTCTATAGGTACAAGAAGACTGTTCACTGCAGCAATTCTGTGTTAATAAAAGCTTTAAGACAACCTACATATCTATCCGTGGGGAACCGTTTAGGTAAGAGATGGTGCAGATGTGTAACAGAAAAACGGCATCTGTATAAGATAACGGAGGGCTTTTTTATATATTCATGTGGGATGAGTTGCAGATATGTGCCTATAAGCACATTTTAAAAGTCTCTGTGGGCTGGCAGGATGGCTCAGTGGGTGACAGTGCTTGCTGTGTAATCCTGATGACTTGAATTTGATTCCGGGAACCCATGGTGGAAAGAATGAACAGTTATCTAGGAATTGCAAACTGAAAACACAGCAAGACAGCATCTCACTCCAGACGGAACGGTTTTTTGTTTTGTTTCAAGACAGGGTTTCTCTGTGTAGCTTTTGACTGTCCTGGAACTCACTCTGTAGACCAGGATGGCTTTGAACTCACAGAGATCCACCTGCCTCCGCAGAAAGAAAGGTAATGTTTAAACGGGTTGTCATTTATTCATCCTATTCATTGAGTAAATGGTTGGGTATCAACTGGTACCAGGCCCCACCCCAGGAACTAGGATATAGCAAGGAACAGGACAGGCATTGCCTTCCCTTCTTGGGGCTCTTTTTTAGTGCAGCTAGATGGAGGCAGATATTACAGAAGAACATCTCAGGCAATGATACATGCTCTTGTTGTTTTTGAGAGGCTCTTGTTCTATAACCCAGAATGGCCTATAACTAAATCCCTATGGAGCCCAGGCTGGCCTCAGACTTGGCAGTTGTCCCCTGCCTCAGACTCCTAAGTGCTGGGTTGTAGGGCTGAGCCATGCCAGGGCCAGTTTATGACACTGACTTTGAAGAATATAAAACACTGGACTGGTTTTGTATCAATTTGACACAAGCTGGAGTCATCAGAGGAAGGAGCCTCAGTTGAGGAAATGCCTCCTTGAGATTCAGCTGTAAGGCATTTTCTCATTAAAGTGATCAGTGGGGGAGGACCCAGCCCATGGTGGGTGGTGCCATCCCTGGGCAGGTGGTCCTCAGTTCTGTAAGAAAGCAAGCAGGCTGAGCAAGCCAGGAGAAGCAAGCCAGTAAGTAGCTCCCCTCCACGGCCTCTATTGGCTCTTGCCTCCAGGATCCTGCCCTGTTTGAGTTCCTGTCCTGACTTCCTTCAGTGATGAACAGCAATGCTGAAGTGTAAGCCAGGTTAACCCTTTCCTCCCCAACTTGCTTTTTGGTGATGGTGTTTCATTGCAACGATAGAAACCCTGACTAAGACAAACACTTAAGTGTTTACCAGGATGGAAGGGGACCTGTATATTATTGAGTCTAACCTGAATGAAGAGACAGAGTCAGCCACTCAAAGAGCATCATACTGTCCCTGGCAGAGGGACAAGGCCACTGTGACAGAAACACAACGAGTATTTTTATCTCCAGCCTGGATTTCATTTTGAGTCACAGAGCTAATTGCTGACCGAACATCACCAGTGGGATGTCTATTGGGCCTCTTGACCTCCATATGCACAAACCCAACCCATCTTCCTTCTTCAACCTGCTCCTCACACTGTAGTCAATGACAATTTGCAGCCCACTGAAGCTAAAACAGTCACAGTAGTCATCCTCAAATCTGACCCATGTCCAATCCCACAACAAATCTTATTGTTTCACTATCAGAATTCATCTACAACATGGGGGTGGGGGGCTGACATAAGCAAAGTACAATGATAAACACATCTGAAAATATCAAGAGGGGTTGGGAGAGTTGGCTTGGTGGTTAAGAAAACGTACTGCTCTTGCAGAAGACACAGATTCGATTTCCAAGACTCGTAATGGGGGGCTCACAACTGCCTGCAACTCCAGTCCCAGGGGACCTGACTCCCTCTGAGGGCACCTGCACACACATGGTTCACATAAACACACACACACACACACATGCCTAAATATTTTTTTTAAAAGCTTTAAAACGGCAGCTGGAGGGATGGCTCAGGGGTTAAGAGCACTGGCTGTTCCACCAGAGGACCTGGGTTCAATTCCCAGCACCCACATGGCAGCTTGCAATTGCAACTGCAAGCTGTAACTCCAATTCCAGGTTATCTGACACCCTTGCAAACATTCAGGCAAAACACCAATGCACATAAAAAAAACAAAAGCTTTAAAGCAGTTTCCTCTTTAAATAGCTTTAAGTGTTATAGTGAAACCCACTACTTTATATAAAATTAATTAAAAACAATTAAAATTAAGTGGTGGCACACTCCTTTAATCCCAGCACTCAAGAGACAGAGGCAACCTGATCTCTGTGAGCTCAAGGCCAGTCTGATCTACAGAGCAAGTTCTAGGACAGCCAAGGCTACACAGAGAAGCCCTGTCCCCCCACCCCCATCCCCACCACCCAAGACTGGGTTTCTCTGTAGTTTTGGAAGCTGTCCTAGAACTTGCTCTGTAGGCTGGCCTCGAACTCACCACCTGCCTCTGCCTCCCAAGTGCTGGGATTAAAGGTGTATGCCACCACCGCTGGACGACAGGCCTCATCTTGAAAAAAATAAAATTAAAGGACAAAAGTAAATCCATTTGACTATTTTCTGTCACTTCCCGGCACCACTTGGTCACTGCTGAAACACTTGGATTTTCTTTGTGAGGCAGAAGCACCGAATGGTTTCTAGGACCAGGCAGAAGTGGCAGCACATTGGAACCAGCTCACACCTCACATGGACCACCTGGAAAGTTCTGGCAACATTGCAAGATGGTCCATGTCATACTGACAGCTTGATTTGGGCATGGAAGGAGCAGTCACACAATGAATAGCTGCTAACATTGAATTATTCTTTCCACTCTTGGGATTCGGTATTCAATACTAGTGCACAATTGATTTAAAAAATCTATTTTACATAAAGTTGGTATAGGTAGGTGTCACGTGGTTCTCTCCAGGTATAGACTAAGCCTTTTCTGCATGCTTGTCTGTCCCCAGTCAGCTATAAGCCAGGTGGTAGAGACCAGTGGTTAGCAGGCTATCGACCAAGATGAAGGTGAGAATTAAAGAGTCCCAACCACAAGGCAAAACAGGGTTTTCTTTTGTTAGTTTTTTAGTACAGTATTCTCCATGAATTTCATGATAGTCTTGAGATCACAATGCTCCTACCTCAGCCTCCAACTTCCAACCAAAGAGAGGTTTTTGTTTTTTGTTCTGGGATTACAGGCTTGCATGAACCACCATGCCCAGCCCTGAAGAGTTTTAATAGATCCTTAGGATGACTGGGCTTTGGGAGAACCGGCCCTCTTTCCTTCTCACACTCCCTCGTTAGCAACAGTTCATAACCGCCCTAACGCTGCTACAGTTTAACTCAATGCCTCCTGTTGTGGTGATCCCCAACCATAAAATTTTTTCGTTGCTACTTCATAACTATGATTGTGCCACTGTTATGTAATGTAAGTATCTGATATGCAACCCCTCTAGAAGGGCTGTTTGTCCCACAAAGGGGTCTCGGGACCCACAGGTTGAGAACCCAGCCTTACTGGCTTCCTTCAGACTCATTTCTTGTGTTAACATCTGTTTTCCTCCATACAAGGCCTTCTACCCATGCAGGAGCTTCCTATTTGCTGCTGCTTCACCAGACAAGTTAAGACCAATGCCTCAGTGCTCCATCCAGAGCATGGGGGAGTCAGAGACACTAACATTAATAATAGCTCAGGTGAGTGTGAGAAGTAATGCTGGAAAGATTAGACATAGCTGGAAGCGCTCCGGGAAGCACATGGGAAACACAGAATTAAATCCAGACAATGGCATTTAGTGGCGAACTAGATCTGCCCTCCACCCAGAGAAAGTAGACTGTTACTCGGGACCGCTCTCCTTACCCGGACTTCCGCTTCTCGGGGCCTCCCGTTGAGATCACACTTGGACCCATTGCCGTAAGTCTGGCTATGGTAGCGTTTCAGCCGATGCTGCTTGGAGGCCTGGAGAAAAAAACATCAGGAGGGACAGAGAGGGTGTGACAAAAAGAAGCAAGGTAGAAGAATGACCCCAGCCTCTGGCAGGGACCCCGACATCACAGGAGTCCCGATCCCAGGGGACTTTGTCTTGATAGGCACCGAACCCCGAGATTCACACCAGCTAACTCTTGACTCTCCCCTGTTGCCTGAGCTCTCAGTCCGCAGCTAGGCCTGTACCCATTCTGACCCCACACTCCTGTTACCTTGGCTGTTTCATCATCCCAGTTGAAGGCTGACTGATAGTAGCCGAGGTAGAGGACGTCACCTTTGATCTCTGAGTCTGTAAGAGAAGCAACAGGAAAGCACATTATTCTCGCTCGTTATGATATCTAGAAGGGAGGGGACTGGAAGGGAAGGGCGGTCCCCTTCCACACATGACAGTGAAAGCTTGGGGAAAAAAAAATCTAAGAACGAATCACCTTCCATATGGTACTGCTGGATATGGCGTCCATAACAGAATTCATAAGTCCACCAGTCCTTGGTCTGACAATTAAAAAACGAACCATCAGGGGGAATGAAAATCCCTCTTTTTGAAAACAGTCTCCTGGTTCCAAAACATATAAACTCCCATTTAGTTCTCATCTCTCTCTCTGTTTTCTCGTTCGTTGTCCAGACTCTGCGAGAAGGGACAGCTGTCTCTTTCATGGTTGGAAACACACATCTAAAATATGCCTACTTTCCATATGTGTCCCTTTTTCTTTCTTTCTTTCTTTCTTTCTTTCTTTCTTTCTTTCCTCTTTCTTTCTTTCTTTCCTTCCTCTTTCTTTCTTTCTTTTTCTTTTTTTTTTGTCGGGGGACAGGTGAGACAGGGCCATGCCATGTGCTCCAGCTTGGGATCATAGACTCCCTGCCCACCGTAAAGATAAGACATCGTGCTATCCTTGAAGCTCTCAGACGAAGACTCCCAGAGGTTCAAGCATTAAATGAACTCCCCCCGAATACAATGGAATCCTGAGTTAAGACCAAACAGGGGCAGCTGGCGACTTTCTGGGTAAGCGCCTGCTCCTCCGTCTATCAGTAACCCTTCCCCACATTCAGCAAAGGTGATCTGTGGATGCAAGAGTCTTTGACCTCCACACATCGTCTGTAAATATATCTAGTACACCAGTGGTCCCTGAACTCACACACACACCCCGCGCCCGAGGACCCACTCCTTCCCTAGCACTTCAGTTGTCATGACTACATCCCACCCACCGCCCAGTCCTTTCACCTTCAACAGACAGGGAGCATCTCTCATTGGGCTCAACAATTCAGGAATCCCAGGCCCTTGGTAAGCGGGTGCCTCTTCCTCCCTTTCCCGCTGGAAGTGAATGGCTCCAGCTGGCAGGCGGCACTCATAGCGCTGTTTATACTTCGAAGACACAACCACCACGTCTGAAGCTTGGCTCTGGGAAAGAAGGGTCGGGAAGGGGGGCAGGGAGGTAGAGGCTGGGATCAAGAACAGCGAGATCCCTCTTCAGACCCTGGGGAAGTAAGTGCCCAGTCGAAGACAGAAGCCACAGGTCCTCCAGCTTGCATTGTCCGGGCGGCGGGAGGGCGGGCGGGCGGACGAGCCGAGGAAAAGGGCGCTCTCACTTCCCCACCCGGCGGAGTCTGGGTGCTTTCACCGTGACCCGGGGACCCGAGGTGCACAGCGGGAAGCCCCACCCCTGCCGGTGCCAGGTCCCCCGGGAATGGGTCCGCCTGCGATTGCCAGCTGTGCCGTGTGCGCACCAGCTGCCCTTCTCCACCCCCTTAGTCTCCGGAGCCCGGCTCGCACCTGCCCTTCCTCCTTCACCGTGTGCGAGCCCCTTCTTCTTGCATAGGACCCTCGCCCCCACAGCCCTCACCTGCCCTCCCATGACAGGCAATGGCAGGATCTGGATGCCATAACGCATCTCGCTCAGCTCCTCCAGATTCAGGCTCCCGACGGCCCCCGTCAGCCGCGCGGGTAGCAGGAGCCCGAGCGATAGCAACCCCAACACACTGGACAGCAGCGTTTCCGCCGCCATCTTCCGCTCCGTCTTAGCTAGGGACGCTCCTTCCGCCCCGAACCTGGCAGCGGCTTCACCCTCCCATTAGCGCCCGGAGCTCTCATTGGCTGCTCCGTCCATCTCTCTTACGTAACCTGTCCTCATTTGTAAACGTGGCGTCAAAATCTCCAGGGAGGCGGATCATCGCTGTTAGGGTGGGTGTGTGTGGGGGGGGAGAGAAATCAATCTCTGATCATGATTGGCCAGGAGTAACAACCAATCATCAACGAGATTGAACCCCGCCCCCTCGCTCTTTATTCCTGAGAGGAGTGGTCTATGGCTGTGTTCTTTTTGAGCGTCTCTGCCCTTGCCCAGCATAGCGCTTCTGATCACTTTGTCATGGATTTTTTGCTATGTATGGCGCCCCCATCGGGCAGAATATTGAGGCGGATGGTGGGGTGGGGGGTACCTTTGGAAGTAACGTAATGCCTTTTGCAAAAACAATTACTATACAGAAGCATGCCGTACAGAAGCATGCAAGTATATATACACACATACTACTTTAGGGCAATCAAATAATCTGTGTCAAAACCGGAATTTGTCCTTCAGTGAAATTATCTTAAGGGGCTGAGTGGGGTAGTGCATGCCTGTAATCTCAGCGCTTGTCAAGCGGAGACAGGAGGATCAGTAATCAGGATCAACCTCATACATATGGTGAGTTCGAGGCCAGCCTGGGATACATGAGACCCTAATCTCAAACACACAGACACATGGCAGATGACTTGTTTAGCATGTGTGACGCCTTGCGTTCAATACCCTCACACAGTATAAACCAATCATGCTGGTATACACCTGGTATCCAAGCAGTCATCCTTGGCTACATAGAGTTCCGCCCAAGCCTGGAATGCAAGAGACCCTCGTCTCAAAAGAAGCAATAACGGAGCCAAGAGTGGAGGCAGATGCCCATAATTACAAGCTGACACAAAAAGACGGAGAGTTGGAGGTCAGCCCAGCTTCTACATGCAAAATCTTGAAGAAACAAACCAACAACAGCAAAAAACAAACAAAAACAAATCCCCCTCCCAAAACAGGCATGGGAGAGGAAGGAAAGCAGGGGAGAAAAGAAAGGAGAAAAATAAAATAAAGGGGGCTTCTTGTCAAAGTTGGGGTAGGACTGAGGAGCTTGGGGAGAGCATTTCTTTTGTTCAGACTGTAAGAGAAAAAACCTGTGAGAACAAAGCAAAAGGGAAACGAGGCAGTGGTAGGAACATTTTGGAAGTTGGAAATCAAATAGAATGATAGCTTGCTTAGCAACCCTGAGAATATTAATTCCTAAACAACAGCAAGTGAGAGTAATAACATTCCTTTGGGAAACCTACTATGGGGAAGCTTACTACCCCCGTAGAGAAGGAGATCCCAAGAATATTCTTATCAGTCTTATCGTAATGAAATAGACATGAATCCTATTATAATCACAGTCCCTGGCTGTTCTGGGACTCGCTCTGTAGACCAGGCTGGCCTCGAACTCACAGAGATCCACCAGTCTCTACCTCCCGAGTGCTGGGGCTAAAGGTGTGTGCTACCATCGACTGCCCAGCTACACAGAAAGCCAAGCATCGTTATCTTTTTAAGGAAAAACTTTTTAATATATAAGAAAGAAACCAAGACAAGCAAGAAAGGAAAAAGCAAATGGGAGGCTAGAGAAATGATTAGGGGTCAGGGGCATTTAGTATAGGCATGAAGACCTGAGTTCCATACCAGCATTCAGAAAAGTCACACTTAGCCCACGGAGTGTAACTCCAGCTCAGCGGGGAAGAGTACTGGCTGTTTTTATGTCAGCTTGACACAGGCTAGAGTCATAAGGGAGTAAGTAGGGAACCTCAATTGAGAAAATGCCTCCACAAGATCCAGCTGTAAGCAAGCCTGTAGGACATTTTCTTAATTAGTGATTGATGGGGGAGGGCACAGCCCATGGTGGGTGGGACCATCTCTGGGCTGGTGTCCTGGGCTCTACAAGAAAGCAGGTTGATCAAACCATGAGAATCAGGCCAGTAAGCAGCACCCTCCATGGCCTCTGCATCAGCTCCTGCCTCCAGGTTCCTGCTGGGATTAAAAGTATGGGCCACCACTACCCAGCTTAGATTTATTTTTATTTATGGTCTTGTTTCTTTTCCAGGAACTTCTAAATTATAAAATATTACACAACGAGGCATGATGAATGTAGTGGTGCATGCCTGTTATCCCACTACTCTAAGGCAGAGGCAGGGGAATCAGTAGTTCGGTCATGTTGAGCTACAGTGGTAGTTTGAATGTAATGGGCCTCCATAACCTGGTAGGGAACGGCACTATTAGGGGCTGTGGCTTTGAAGTGGGTATGGCCTTGGAGGAAGTGTGTCACTGTGGGGGCGGGCTCTGAGGTCTCCGATGCTCAGGATACCATCTAGTATCTCAGTTGATTTTCTGTCGCTCAGCTATCATCTGCCTGCATGCCGCCATGCTCCCCACCATGATGGTAATGGGCTGAACCTTTGAACTGTAAGCCACCACCTCAATTGAATGTTTTCTTTATAAGAGTTGCTATGGTCATGGTGTCTTTTTGTTTGTTTGTTTGTTTGTTTGTTTTTTGTTTTTCGAGACAGGGTTTCTCTGTGGCTTTGGAGACTTTGGAGACTGTCCTGGAACTAGCTCTTGTAGATCAGGCTGGTCTCGAACTCACAGAGATCCGCCTGCCTCTGCCTCCCGAGTGTTGGGATTAAAGGTGTGTGCCACCAATGCCCGGCTCATGTTGTCTTTTCACAGCAACACAAACCCTAAGTTAGACGACTATATAGGAATTGGAGGCTAACCTGGGCTACATGATATTCTGTCCCAATTTTTTTTTTTCGAGACAGGGTTTCTCTTTATAGCTTTGGAGCCTATCCTGACAATTGCTCTGGGTACCAGGCTGGCCTTGAACTCACAGAAAGGCACCTGCCTCTGCCTCCTGAGTACTGAGATTAAAGGCAAGCACCACCAACGCCCAGCTCTGTCCCAATTTAAAACAAACAAACAAACAGCAACAACAAAAAAAGGCAGCAGCAACAATAGAGAAGACTGTCTTGAGTATATTTATTTAAGGGACAATTATCTTTCATAGGAAAGGGGTATTTACAGGCCATTACAGGCAAAAGCGGTACTGTCCAAGCTGAGTGCCCCTTGTCTGAAATGCTTGGGAAATAGATTTCAGATTTTGAAATGTTTGTAAACATACAATGAGATATTTTGGGACATGAGATCAGTCTAAACATCAAACTCATGTCTTGAGGTAATTGTCTACAATATTTTTCTGAACCTATGCTTTGTTTTCTTACTTTTAAAAGATGTTTTAAGCTCTGTTTAGAATGTATTTTTCTATTTTTAACCATGTGTATGTGTGGGTATGTGCTCATATGTGCTAGAGGAAGCATGAGATCTCCTGGAGCTGGAATTACAGGTGGTTGTGGGCCATCTGAAGTGGATGTTGGAAACTGAACTCCAGTGTATGTACTTAACTACTTAGCCGTTTCCCTAGCACCCTGGGAAGTACTCTGACAGGCCCAAACATGCTCATGGCATGTCCTGCCATTCCCTTCTTCTCTCTTAGGCTAAACCACTAGAGTCCTAATTGGCCACTTTCTCATGCCAGACTCATTCTGAAGGGACCAGCTCCCTATTTGGGCAGCCATGACAGCCGAACACATACTTGTCTGACCTTGCCTTGGTCACTAGGAGGTTAGGTGCCTGCCTCGTAGCAAGGAACCAATCAGAAGTTAGCTGGTGGTGCTATGCTTTACAGCTCTGGGTGTCCTTTACGGACAAGTGCACAGCAATGGCCCACAGAGCATAGCAACCACCCTGGGAGGGTCTATGGGCCATAACAACCAGCTGACCAATCACCACAGGGCAAGCCCTCCAAGCCGGGATGCACACCAATCCTGAGCCTGTGTATATCCCTAGACTCTCCCCTTACGCTGCCCTATAAGATCTCTATGCAGATGCTTCGAGCTGTCTTTCCTAGCCATCCGCCATGGATGGATGGATGGAAGGCCCGAGCTAACATGGGGTTAGCTCGTTAAACAACTATAATAAAGCCTCATGCAGTTCGCATCAAGCTTTCGCCTCCACCTGGTGATTGGGGTGACAGAGGTCCTGGGCTGAGATCCTGGAGGCCTGAGCTTCTGGGGGTCTTACACTGCCCTTCCCTTCTTCTCTCTTAGGCTAAACCACTGGAGTCCTATTTGGCCACTTTCTCATGCCAGACTCATTCCTGAGGCTAATCACCAAGGTCCAACTATCAAAACATCAAAATCCCCCATTTGACTACCCTAATTAATCTGCCCAATCAAAGTCCTCCATTTGGCTACTCTAATTAACTCCAATCAAAACCTACCAACCTGTCCTGGCTTCCCCTTTTTCTCCTTAAAAATTACTACTGCTGAGCCACTGGTTGTTGTTTCTGACCAGTTTAGGTTTGGCCACCCTGTCTCTCTATCTTGCTTGATTAATAAATCTCCTTTGTGCTGAAACTTCGATGTCTGGGTGAGTTCTGTGCCAACTCCAAAGCCCCTTCACCCTGTTTTTATTTATTTTTTAATTAATGTTTACGTGTGCCTAGGTGTGTGTCTGTGCATATATGAGTTCAGGTGCCCAAAAGCATAGGTTCCCTGTAACAAGTCTTTCTGTCCTGCCAGCCATCTCCCAAATAATGATATGGAGACTTCAGATTACTTATGAAAACTCAGCCTATAGTTTAGGCTTGTTCTAACTAGCTCTTCTAATTTAAATTAATCCATTTCTATTAATCTATATTGTATCACATGGCATTTTCTCTCTTCCATCTTATACCTCCTGCTTCCTCTTCATGTCTCCCGGCTTCTCCCAGCCTAGATTCCCCCTGCTCTTCTTTTCTCTCCCTGGAAATCCTGCCTATACCTCCTGCCTTCACACACTGTACAAATATGCCACAACAGGTCTTAAAGAGGATGTGTAGAACCATGGGGGTGGGGAAACCATGTGAGCTATAACATGTTAGCATTGATCTTGACAAGTTAATAG